GCCAATGAAAATGTTTATTATCCAATTAAGGCTGATAACCAGCATGATGAATATATAAGTTATAAGAACTTAAATTACGGAGGAATTTTAAAATTAATATTCCAGTAACTTGCGCAATTAGCGCCAGATAAGTTAAATTACCACCCCCTTACTTTTAAAAGCGTTTAGATGACCTTTGCATATTCCCTCCATAATAATGCACTATGCACCATGAAACTGATCAAAAGGAACAATGTTGGAATAAATTAAATCAAATATTTTCCTCTCCTTTTAGGCTAGTGCTAGTAGTTTTTGTAATCTCTTGTCTTCTCTTTTCTGTCTGTCGGTGTTGGTTGGTTTGGTTTTTTTTAACAAAGTTTATTTACAATCTGTTTTACATTAAACAATCCTATACTCTAATACGAGCAAAGTTTGCTTGTATGTATGTATGTATGTATGTATGTATGTATGTATGTATGCTTGCACCAAGATATCGAAAACGGCTCCGACGATTTTCTTCAAATGTTGTATATAGTTTATTTCTGGCCTAAAAACGAGTTTACTGCAATTAGAACTGCCATCAAAAATCTAATTACGTAGAAAAATGAAATTGAAAATCACATTTTTTTAACATTAGTCTTATGGGTTGCTAGGTAACCATGTTGGTTGAATTGAATAACAAGGAAAAAGTAAACAAAAGACTTGTAGCTTGTAATTTGTCTATCCACAGTATACTAGCAAAACAAAATACAGTACAAAAGGAAAAACATCAGTTGTTACTATTGAGCAAAGATTATACTGAAGATTACTAGATTCTATAGTCAAGGGTAGCAGTGTGGAGTGTGGGATCTGTTTATGACGATTAGATTACGGTATCTGCAATCCTTAAATGCTATGGAAAGGGAGGAAAACAGGTCCACGACATAGGAAGTGGTGAAGGAAGTAGTAAAGGCGAGCAGTCTGGAGTGTGGGAACTGTTTATGACGAATAAATTAAGGTATCTGCAGTCCTAAAATGTAATGGGAGGGAGGAAAACTGGTCCATGACGTAGGAAATGGGGAAGGAAGTTGTAAGGCTAGCAGTGCAGAGTGTGGAAACCGTCTGTGGCATTTATGTATCTGCAATTTTAAAATAGTATAAAGAAGGAGGGCAAACAGGTCTACGACATAGGGAGTGGTGAAGGAAGTAGCAATGGTGAGCAGTCCGGAGTGTGGGAATTGTTAATAACGATTAAAACAAGTTATCTACAATCCTAAAATGCTATGGGAAGGGAGGGAATCAGGTCCGCGACGTAGGAAGTGGTGAAGGAAGTAGTAAAGGCGAGCAGTCTGGAGTGTGGAAACTGTTTAAGACGATTAGATTAAGGAATCTGCAATCCTAAAATCCTATGGGAAGGGATGGAAAGAGGTCCGCGACGTAGGAAGTGGTGAAGGAAGTAGTAAAGGCGAGCAGTCTGGAGTGTGAAAACTGTTTATGACGATTAGATTAAGGAGGATCGCGACGTAGGAAGTGGTGAAGGAAGTAGTAAAGGCGAGCAGTCTGGAGTGTGAAAACTGTTTATGACGATTAGATTAAGGAATCTACAATCCTAAAATGCAATGGGAATGGAGGGAAACAGGTCCGCGACGTAGGAAGTGGTGAAGGAAGTAGTAAAGGCGAGCAGTCTGGAGTGTGGAAACTGTTTAAGACGATTAGAATAAGGAATCTGCAATCCTAAAATCCTATGGGAAGGGATGGAAAGAGGTCCGCGACGTAGGAAGTGGTGAAGGAAGTAGTAAAGGCGAGCAGTCTGGAGTGTGAAAACTGTTTATGACGATTAGATTAAGGAATCTACAATCCTAAAATGCTATAAGAATGGAGGGAAACAGGTCCGCGACGTAGGAAGTGGTGAAGGAAGTAGTAAAGGCGAGCAGTCTGGAGTGTGGAAACTGTTTATGACGATTAGATTAAGGAATCTGCAATCCTAAAATGCTATGGGAAGGGAGGGAAACAGGTTCACGACGTAGGAAGTGGTGAAGGAAGTAGTAAATGTGAGCAGTCCGGAGTGTGGGAACTGTTAATAACGATTAGATCAAGTAATCTACAATCCTAAAATGCTATGGGACGGGAGGGAATCATGTCCGCGACGTAGGAAGTGGTGAAGGAAGTAGTAAAGGCGAGCAGTCTGGAGTGTGGAAACTGTTTATGACGATTAGATTAAAGAATCAACAATCCTAAAATCCTATGGGAAGGGATGGAAAGAGGTCTGCGACATAGGAAGTGGTGAAGGAAGTAGTAAAGGTGAGCAGTCCGGAGTGTGGGAAATGTTTATGACGATTAGATTAAGGTATCTACAATCCTAAAATGCTATGGGAATGGAGGGAAACAGGTCTGCGACGTAGGAAGAGGTGAAGGAAGTAGTAAAGGCAAGCAGCCCGGAGTGTTGGAACTGTTAATGACGATTAGGGCATCTGCAATCCTAAAATGCCATTGGAAGGGGGAGAAACAGGTCCGCGACGTAGGAAGTGGTGAAGGAAGTAGTAAAGGTGAGCAGTCTGGACCATGGGAACTGTTTATGGGAACTACATTAAGGTATCTACAATCCTAAAATGCTACGAGAAGGGAGGAGAGGAAAACAGGTCCATGACGTAGGAAATGGTGTAGGAAGTAGTAATGCTAGCAGTGCAGAGTGTGGGAACTGTCTGTGGCATTTATGTATCTGCAATTCTAAAATGGTATAGGGAAGGAGGGCAAACAGGTCCACGACGTAGGGAGTGGTGAAGTAAGTAGTGAAGGTTAGCAGTGTGGAGATTGGGAGTGGATTAATGTATCTGCAATACTTTTCAGAGTAAAGTAATAATTTTCCCCGAGCAAAGCTCGGTCCCCAGGTACTTAATAATTAAATACGATGACATTTTTACCAATAAAATAAAAATTGGAAAACATGAGTTAGCAGCTAAACTGGTTTGTTTACGTTTTGGTTGGTTGGTTGGCGCTATGGAAGCCAATCGATTTACGATATTCGATAGTAGTTGTTTTCATACTACGACGATCGATACTTAACCGTATGCCTACCATATCGTTGTGAACCCAGCGCTATCCTAAGATAACATGGCAGACAGGCGACACCAGCTCATTAATTTGCGTACCGTACTATTTCATTTCAATTTAAATTTATGAACATACATTTATTAAAAGATTTGAAAATAAAACACATAGAATTGAAAACAAAAACGAAATTTAAATTAAAAATCTATTTTTGTATATTTAAATTAATTTTGATATTTGCATAGCCCAGTAAACAAATATTATTAAAAAATACACAAATACCATTAGCTGCTTCCAAACATAACAGCTGTTACAACACCACTTGCGACGTTGCCACTTCGAGGGCCGCGGCCTGGTGTTAAAGGTGGCCGTGTATAAGCTATGCCAATATTCCATTATAAGGCACGAGACCGAAGGACCGAACGTTGATGGAGAATAATTTTTCATAAACCTTAAACAACCTTACTCACCTATATCATTTTACATACTTACATACATCCTTTACTGATTTGTATTCAGTATATTGTATTGAATTATATTGACATAGCTAATGCAAATTGTATTTGTTAATTTGGCAAATAAATGACTTATTGACTGTAATTGGATAATAAACATTTTCATTGACAAATTTTATGCCAGGTTCAGATATTATGTTACTTATTTATTCGCATTCACTCTCACTGTAATATTGTGAATAAAATTATGGCCTTCCGTCGTCAAGGCCACATTAAGACGTTTGACGACTGACATAGGAGCAGCTGCAGCAGAAGGCACCAATAAGGCAATAGTTTACTTCCACCATGAGACAGCCGGTGAGCCAGAGCCCAGAGCCGATACTAAAAAGTCGATGTCTGTCATCCGGTACAAAACAAGCTCGATATTTAACCGAATGCCTACCATATCGTTGTGAACCCAGCGCTAAGCTCCATGTGATAAAATGGCCCGCTAAAAGTGGCCTTTGAGCAGTCACGGTCGCGCGCCACTCGAGTGGCCGCGCATAATAAGGCTCTAAGTGTCCTCCTCTGTTCTTTGTTTTGTTCGGCCGCTTAGCTCTTGGGTGTAAAATAATCTGATTAATATGTTGCAATGTTGGATACATTTTTGTACATCTTTGTATGCAATATGGTATGCGGTTTTTTAATTTGGTTTATCTCAAAGATTAAAAATCTTTTATCTGTGATAACTAAATAGTTGATATAACCATGAAATTTAACTCAAGTAAATTTAGACTAAAATTTCACATAAATTGATAACTTATAATTATAATTATTCTAATAGGGCGATTTTACATACATTATAAAATTCAATTTCACTCATTTTGTACTTCGCCACATTTATTGATTGTAATTTACATCTAATAATTATCATTTTAGCACTCACAGATCTATGTTTATCTTAAATTGCAAACTTGAGACAATACGCACTTGAAAAAAGAATTAAATAATTCATTTTTTTAAATGATGTGTGTGGGATACTAGACTAGTATTTTTATGAAACAGGGCCTCCTGGTCTTACCATGAGTACTACGGTAATAGCTTATTCCCTATATCGATGGCTTCATTCTAATACCACGTAACTCAAAATGAGCTACTTTTTAGGAAACAAAAAAAACTGTCTCATATTGTATTTTCCACAAAAAATAAAATAACAAGTTACGTTATAACACTCAAAAAACTTATTATTAATTGATTCTAAACAGAACGCAGCAAAAATAAATACCATATAGATTTTATTTAGCTTTGATTGAGATGCGTGTTATTAGAAGTTAGTTTTAGGACATACGTGGTATTAAAACTGGCTTGCTAATGTTGAAAACAGGTATGTCTCAAAATAACAACTTGTTTCTAGCATCAAAAGCCTCAAGGAACAGAGATACCTGTTATTAGAAGTTATCTTTTTAAGACAATTTTTAAGAAGTAGGCTTATTGTTGGGAAATAAATTACTACCATACGTTAATGAATGTGTTTAATATTTTGTACGAAACCTCTTATGGCATAAAATCAAGTTCACTACACACAACAAAGTTTGTAAAATAGGTTTAAATAGCTAACAGCACTAAAACGTCTTTGATCTCTTATTAACTTTTCTGTTTGAGAGAGAGTTTCTATTTGTAGGGTAAATTCTCATAAAAACTATGATATTCTCTGGGGATGACAGCCTTTAATTCTTGCAGATGCTTGTACTTTTTTTCTGTTATGGAAAGTCTGCCTTTGTACAGGGCTCCTGGTTTAGAGCTAGGGTCCACGTTCTGGGGTCGTCTCGGCAAATCTTTATAGGCATCATCATAATTCATTTTGTACATGATTTTCCCCTCAGGTTTGTACTTAAGTACATGTATGTCAGTGACAACTGGATCACCTACAAAAATCAATAACATTTTAGGTTGCTTAGGCTTTTGCTAGGCAGTGTATTATAATACGGTTATTAACACATCCACATTCATTTTTTTATCTCACTGACAAGCTGATGTATAATCTCAAAACACTCACTGGTTAATTGTTCTTACACTGTAAAAACACTACAAGTCAATCGCTTTTAAAAACTTTGAAGAATTTAAAGTTTTAAATGTCTCAAATGTAATGGGTAGCCCTACTATTACAACTAACTATCCTATTGGTATTGAAGAGCTGAATAGCGATTGGCTGGCTTTATACACTTACTACATTGCACACCTATTTTTAGGCAATGCATGGGTCCAAGATTATTGCGCTGCATGTACTGACAAAAAAATTTAAATCATACCTTTAGTTGGAATTTAAATTTGATACATTTTAGGCTTACCTGTTTTTCTTCCAGGGCGTATAGAGTCGTAGTAGCTGATTTTTGAAAAGTCTTTGAAAAAATCGTTATACAAATATTTTGCTTCATATGGAAAAGGCTTTTCGCGTGCTTCTTTTGTGTACTTCACCAACTCGTAAGGCGAGTAGACTTCCTTGTTTTTTAATTTTCGTTCTATCAAAGCATGGACAGAGTCCCCCTCCATTTGTGTATGGCCCTTTATTAAAAATTTTTGAGTAACTTCAACGTTATTCTGCTTCGAAAAATGAAGTAGGGCATTAGCCAAGAACTGGTTTCTGTTTTGATTACTACAGCCATCAGTGTATACAAAACAATCGGCAAAGGGGGATCCATACATTGCTCTTCTAAATAATTAATAAGACAAGTAGCAAACGAGTTTGCGGATAAGTCTCCTTCAACCTCGCTAAACCAGTAGCAAGTACAGTGGTGAGTGGATAGATTATACACAGTGTAATTGTGGTTGCAGAGTTTGGTCTTATAATACATTGCGCTTGCTAACGAATATGGCGTCACTTTTACAGCTTGTACATCTGCTGTAAGACAGTGGATTTTCCATCTAAAGCTAATTGTTTATCTATTTCTTTTTCTTTTCTTGCCAAATCTTTTTCAGTTATGTGGGCCTGCCAAATTTCTGCGGGAACATTCCCTGACTTGTAGCCACAACACAAATCACACTGATCTTTGCGAGGGGTGTAGATAGCAATATTCTTGGAGTCAAATATCTCAAAAAACATAGCTTTACTTGACCACTGTTTGTTTTGTGAAATACAATCGTTCTTGTATTTATTATAAACGGCAACTTTTGTGTCCCATATTGGTTCTAAATACAGTTTCTTGGAATCCTTACGGCAATAATGAGCTGGAAGTTTCGGAAGTTCATTCAACCATTCTTCGATCACTAGTTTTTTTTCAGAAAGTCTCCCTTTTTTTACAGGGGTTTCTTCCGTATTACATCGAGTGCTTGAATTTTCAATGTCATCTTGAGTATCGGTGACTGCTGTAAGGTCTTCTCTGTTTTTCTTAAGACCAACCCAGTTATGAGCCATCCACTCTTTGATTCCCAAAGTGTTTAAAAAAAACTTTTTACACACTGGTCTAGTAATTCCTTTGTGTTTCAAATGATAAAAAAAAGTTCCTGATCGCCTTGTTGGGTCTTTCCCTTTTCTTGTTTTAGGCGTAGTTATAGATACAAGTGTCTTAACATAGACTTGTTTCTCTTTCCATGTCATGTTCCAAAATTCTTTAAAAATAATATTTCTGTCCTCATCAGAAAAATTTTCACAATGTCTTTTTTTGCTTTTTTTACAAATATCTGAGGTGCATGGTGGGCCTACCTTTCTATTTTCTTTTTCGGGACCCCTGGTAACTATCATTTTTCCATTGTCAGTCTTAGTTCTTTTGAACCCGTTATATTGTTGTCCAAACATACGTTTCCTTTTTGTAACATTTACTTCCCATTTATCGGGTTCAGCCTTTTTGCGCCTTTTACAGTTATCATTATCACTTACGTTGTTTTCATTTTGTCTATTAGACACGACATTCAAAATATCAGGTGGAGTTTCCGGGGATTCAATGATGTTGTTGTCCAAGTCCGAACTACTTAATAGGCCTACGTCAGCAGGGATTCCTGGGTCATCAACATCTTCTGAGTCTGAATCCAAATTAGACAAATCAGGAAAAAAATCTGGATCCTTAAGTAAATCATCGCATGTACCAGTAACATTCGAAACACTTGACTCTAAAGGTAAAGAAATGTCACTTAGGCCTATCTCATCAGCTTCATTGATAGTCTCATCGATGACTTCTAAACTGTTATTAACAATATCACTTAATGTCAACCCTTCCGTCAATGTTACCTCAGCTGAACACTCCACCAACATTACTGCTTGATTTAGTTCTCTAGTAGGTTTTGATCCTGTTTTATCATTTTCAATTTGAGCTTCATTTTCTTCCTTGTCAATATAAATACTAGGCCTAGCTGCCCTGGTTGGCTCTACTCCTGTAAACAAACAACCGCTTAGAAAAATATATTTATGAATCAGGTACAAGTTAGTTTAAGTGTTTCAACTACACAATCAGGTCATGTACCATACTGACATTAAATTAGCTATCATTTTCTAGATAAGGCTGATTGTGAAAGGGAAGCCCTAGGCTGCACTTCAATAAAAAACATTATTGTTTGAAGCAGATAGATGTAGAAACAGACTGGGTTTTAGCATGATAATAGGCCTGTATTTATTAGAGAATTTGTACCCGTCGTATCTATGGCTAAGCTTACCAGTTATAGAGATTTAAATGGCATTTTACTGACATGAAGAACTCCTGGAAAAGAACAATAAAACACCAAGCAGCCTTGTACATGTTTGTCATCTCAACTAGGCCTACGCTCTAATATTTTGTTCGGTCACCAAGTACTCAGTAAGCCTAAAGGTGTATCATAAGTTTACTGGTTTATATGCTGATATGCCACCTATAAAACTCCATTAAGTTATAGGGTTACATCAAATAGGCTATAAAACAATCAATTATGTGATACAGAATAAAACGAATAAGTTAACCAACAAATCAAACAGTAATTAATAGCTACTTACTTATGAGTGTAGATGAAGATTCCTTCTTCAAAACATTTAACACTGAATCTACAAATTCATCATCACTGTCTGATGCCATCTTCTAAACCTATTCATTTACTGTAGGTAGGCTATAATTAATTCTTACAATATGAATTGATAAAAATCATCCACCTAGTGTCACAAAATTAGATCTGGATCTGGAGTAATACCACGTATCTCAAATAACTGCACTATTCTAATAACAGGTATCTCCTACCTCACTTTTTATGTGAAATATAATATTCTTTATAAGTTTGAAGACACAATTGAAAGTAATAATTAGTTTTAAGACATATTAATGGAACTAACTAACCTAAAATTAAAGTGTATTTGTTTAGTAACGGTTGTAAACACACGCATTTTACATCTGTTTACCAACCCAGCTGATTATCCCATTACTTTATTATGTAACATTTTGAGTTACGTGTTATTAGAAGTCAGTTTTGCCACATGCGAGATACGTGGTACAATATTTACCAGTTTTTAATGAGTTTCCCCTCCTATATGTTTTTTCTCATCCGCAACATTCGATGCAGGGAAACTTCAGGGAAAAAATTATGTGAATAACTAAAAATGGCCAAATTTGGAGATACGTGGTATTAGAATGAAGCCATCGATATGGGAAATTCGCTAAAAATACAAAAATTCTTGGTTCGATATTTTTTGTATATACAATAGACATTTTTGTATTTTTTCGGGTTGTTTTCGAGAATTGATTATAAATTTACGTATATTGATTGATATTGAAACTTACACAAATATTAACATTTAGGGTAACTCAAAGTAGATTTAGGGTAATTTTGCCCGCCTTTAGGGTAAAATTCCAATAACGACTTGGCAACTGGCAACACTGAGGTCACTGAGGAACGAAAACGAAACAAATAACAATGATGCACCAGGCTGAAGTTAGCTGTCGAGCATCTGACGAATGCTAGGTCATAAAACTGTCAGGAGGGAACAATAGGAACACTCGCTTCAACTTACAACAGACCAGTGCTTGGTCCTGGTTCTGTCCATGGTTCAGTCTTAGTGTGAGTAGACTGGTGATAATATTGACCCGAAAAATGTTTGTCTTACAATAACTTAAACAGACTTATTGGAAAAGTTATTAATAACTAGCCTATTCAGTACAAAAGTCATAGACAAACACTTAATTTTAATGTACAAGACTTCGGAGTTTCGTGAAAAATTCTAATGCCAGATCAACTGGACTAGCTGCTTTCACTTTACCATTTTACACTTTTAAATCTATCAGTTTCGATTTGTTGATATGTGACTATCACACAATTAGATATATCAGTGTTTACTACTGATATATATTATCAAAACTCTTGACACTTTCCAGGAAGTTGATTTATCAAGCGTTGAAAATAGGTTTTAGCCAGCGATACGGCATGTGCGGGTCTCGGGATCTGCGAGTTAAAAAGTTGCCATTTTCGATTTGTTATTACGTAAGAACAAACAATGGTACCAATATGTGACTATCACACAATTGGAGATATCAGTGTTTACTACTGATATATATTATCAAAACTCTTGACACTTTCCAGGAAGTTGATTTATCAAGCGTTGAAAATAGGTTTTAGCCGGCGATACGGCATGTGCGGGTCTCGGGATCTGCGAGTTAAAAAGTTGTCATTTTCGATTTGTTATTACGTAAGAAAAAACAATGGTACCAATATGTGACTATCACACAATTGGAGATATCAGTATTTACTACTGATATATATTATCAAAACTCTTGACACTTTCCAGAAAATTGATTTGTCAAGCGTTGAAAATTAGGTTTTGGCTCGTGATCCGACATGTGCGGGTCTCGGGAGCTGCGAGTTAAAAAGTTGTCATTTCCGATTTGTTATTACGTAAGAAAAAACAATGGTACCAATATGTGACTATCACACAATTTGAGATATCAGCGTTTATAACTGTTATATATAATCAAAACTCTTGACACTTTTCTGAAAGTTGAATGATCAAGGCATAAAAATGACTGACATTTGACTGAGTGACATTGCAACTGGTTTCAAGGTGACTGAAAACTTTTCTTTTAGGGCAAACCGTGTCTCACCAATAGAAAAACAAAATTGATCATCTTTAACAAATGTTGCGTTACAAAAATCAACAACTGTTTCATTTAATCTTTCACTTCCAAACAAGGTTCTGTAACTGAGTTGATTTAACCTTTACATTGCTCTGAGACGTTCCCTTCCCTATCAATGATCCGGACTGACCTCTTTGTTTCCTCTACCCCTTTGTTGACATCAGATGGTACAGCCCGAGCTAACAAAGGAACCTCGTCGGCTCCGGTATTGACATTTTCAAAACTTTCATCAAAACCAACCGGTTCATCTTCAACTTGATCAACACCCATTAAATTTGGACAGTTTCGCAAAAACGATTCATCAGTTTCAGAAGGACAAGAATGAGTCGTGACGACCGTATTCCGTTGAACTATTCTGTGCAGAAGACGACGAACATGGAGTCGATTCCGGTTCGTGTCAGAACAACCAAGAACTGCACTCATTCTAGTCCATAGGGGTCTTCTGCAAACACTTTCAAGATTTTGTGATTCAATGCTGATTTCTAACGTCTTTAAAGCCCCCAACAACAATTCTTCTGAAACCCTCTGTGAAGAGTTGAGATTTTGAGTTGAAGGTAACTGACCCTCAGAGACAGATACCTTTTTTGAACAAACAAGTGTTGAAAAGATTTCATGTACCCCACAATGGTTTTTCTTCCAACGTAAAAACAACGTGCGTGTCAGGTTTCGGTCAGTCCGTCCAAAAAAATGTGCTGCAGCCTCAGCAAACACTGATTTGTTCCCTACTCCTGCATTTGATACAAGTTTAGCACTTGAAAATCTGTCTGCCAAATATGTAGCTAAATCAAAGGCACTTACCTCGACTGGTCCAGGGTTTCTTTCCACTCCTCCAATCACCAACAAAGTCAGCAGTACGACTCCATAGATTTTTACAATTTAAAAACGAAGAAACCCTGTCAAATTCCCGCAGACCATGCTTAATTTTTTTTTAATCATGATTTTATTAGGAAGAGAATTAAAAAGACGGATACGCATTGAGAATGATTGGTTTATATGGAAAGTTGTACGAGATAGTGGAATAGGTAGGTCGAAGTTCCTCCTGAGATATAATATGAAACATTGTAGAATTTTTTTTTAAGAAGGTCAAAGATTAAAATACCTCCGCCGCGGCAAACCTGCAGACTTAGCGAATTTCCATTTGCCTGATTGAATCTATACTAAAATGTCTCCTTAATAATATCACATTTGTTATCTGTTCCCGTAATAAGCTGTCAGAAGGATGCATCAATATACCGAGGATCCAGGTAGTTTTGGGGAGGCTAATCC